CCCAGCGAGGAGATGGGATCCGAGGAGCCCGAGGCACGAGCTTCTCATGAAGTCAGCACGGTGCAAACCGGTACAGCACATCAGAAACTAGAAGAGTGGTTGGCTTCTGAGCATCACCACAAAAAACACCACAAAGCGAAATGCAAAGAAATAAGAGAGCTGAAGAAATAAAATCTTGTCCTCAGCCAGAAAAGGTGAAGTTGCCCAGAATTGGAAGGGACCGGAACTACTCTAACGTGAGGAAAAAGTCTTCCACAACACTGGATTAAGGATGAAATAATGGACTGGAGGGGGGCAAGAACAAACAGAAATTACTTCAGCCATCTTACTCTGAGAGCCTTTGAAGGAAAAGAACAAAACAAGCCTAGGTCCTGACTGCTCCCTGGCGACAATTAAGATTTCTTCTTATTAAGTACTTTCACAGGTTTTGCAAGGGAATAAACCTGCCACAACATCTTTCAGCAGACTTGGTCTTAACATCTTGTAAGTATCCAAACTATCCTTCATTACTTGCAAGAATTAGAATTAAGGAATTAGTCCTAATTTTTCCTCTTGTTGTCAATCAAGCAGCAGTGCATTCCCTTTTGGGAGGGCAAGAGAAGCGAGTGCAACCTGAGCATTAACTACGACTGTAGCACAAAGCAGTCCCTCCCGATGAAATACGGCTGCATCGGCCACAGCCACAAACTGAATTTGATGGCATTTGTTCCCTGTAGAGTCTTACTCATTGCAGATATGAAAACCCTTCTATGTACTTGCAGAAATATTAGTATAATGCAACACTGGAGTTAAGCTCTCCCAAAGCCTTTTACGTTATTGTGCTACTACCCATTAGATTTAATACTCGGACTGCATAACTGATGCAACCATTCTCCTCGCGTTTATTTTTAGTTGAGAATTTTTTTCCCCTTAAAGCGTTTAAGCAAGACACTATTTAGTTTCTTTGGTTTAAGATTATTTTTATTTTCTGTTTTAAGATGCCATTGCAGACATCTAGTATAATTTTCACACCCAATATCACACATTTTTCAATTTCAAAAAATGTATTTAAATCTGAACAAAAATACTTTACTAGAAGAAAAAGCACCTTTTGACAGGGATCCTTCTCTTGTGCAAAATGAATGGATTTAATAACATTTTATTTAATGCCAATAGCATTTACAGGTTAAGTATTTTAACACTGACAAAACTTCCAAGAAATAAATAAAAAAACCCCAACAAACGATAACAAAGAAGTCTTCTGTCCTGTAGAATTTTGAGATGACAGAGCCACTGCAACCACACAGGGTAACTTCCTGAATAAATCCAGGTGAAAAGAGCTTCTTGAATCACATTCCTATCTCAGGTGCAGCACTGGTATTGAACCAGAACTGATTTTTTAGCAAAACACCCAATTTCAATTTAAAAGTCTTCAGAGAACAGAAACCACTAAAGCTCCAGTAAGTTATTCCAGAAGTAAATTACTTTGCTGTTAAAGAAAACTATTCATTTCCATTTAAGGACTTGCCATACCTATGCCTGCTAGACTAGAACTCATCCCCAGGTCTGTCTGTAACACACAGAGCACATCCCTCTTGTCTTGAGGCTTTGGCTAGGGCTTGATCTTTAACTCTTGAAGCCTTCTTCAGGTTTTTCTGAGGCTTTTCCCATTTAGCATTATTCTTTTTGAACCGAGCACGACAGAACGGAATGCAGTGTTCCAGCAGCAAAACCCCAGAGGTACCGGGACCTCCCTCCTCACCACCCCGTGCCTGCACAGCTCGGGCTGACACCCCCCTCCCGGCTTCGCTGGAGGCTCAGCTCTGCCTGCAGCCAGCTCAGGAGGATGTCCAGGTCACTGCCCCCTTAGTGACTCAATCTTCATCATTTCATTATTCCCTTTTTAAAATGGGATCGTGTGCTTTCTCTCCAAGTCCCTTACAAAAGCACTGTATGGCCAAGGATCAATTTTTCCAGAACACTGCTCCAAGAGCTGGGCACTTCCATCTACGTTACACGGAGATTCGTTTGGAATCCGTTTAACCCTGCGTCGGTTTTAATTGTTCTAGTTTCTTAATCAAATCAAACCTCTTTCAGAAGTCTTTTAAATCAACACTGCTACTTTCAGCCACAATTCCTGCAGTATCGTAACTCAGTTAGATGGGATTTATTCTGACTGGCCTTAATGAATCTCCTTCGCACAGAGCGTCAGATGAGAGAATCGCCTGTTACCTGGATGGAGCCAGGCTTGCCCATCGACAGCGCCTGCGGGCACAGCGTGGTGCTCCTGGGCCAACGCCACCAATGACCTCAGCAGGTCTTCATTTACTGAGTCTCACAGTTGTTTGATTCTTTTTCTTTTTTTTTTTTTTTTTTGAGAGGTCTAGTTTTGGTAGGTGCCGTTTTACCTTTTTTATATTTTGCTGGTGAAATTGAAGTTCTATTAACTAAGCACTCAATTCTGTTTAAGTTTGCTCCCAGCATATTTAGCAGAATTATTTTCATCTTTACGAAAATGGCCTTTTTAAAGCATCTAGTATTTATAGCACTACTTAGAGATTGATTTCACACGTGTAAAAAAATCCCGGTTCAGACTACTTATCTAACAAGCTGCTAAGTGCTGCAGCCAGTTCCTCTGAACCCATCATGATGAAGTGCAATAGCGGTTTACAAACGTTTTTAAAAACATGTTTCAATGACCGCTTGCCAGGGCTCACACGCTGAACAGTTTCTTGCACAGGGCAACAGAGTTCTTTGAAATACTAACACGTGAAAGCAAGTTCAGAGTAAGAGCTAGGTAGCAAGGTGAACCACGCTGCAGATAAACCACACAGCAGTTACAGCAAGTAACCAAGAGGGCAAATACATACCCAGGAAAAGTGATTTTACACTAAAGCCAGGCAAGTTTCACATGGTGGTGTTCCCAGGGAGCTTTACAACAACAGCACTCTTTCTACCAGAACGCATGCTGGGGTCAGTAGGAGAGCACGGAGCAGTTTTCCTTACCTAATCTATACCCTTTATAAAGGCGACCCTTCTCACCGTCCAGAGCCGCCTGGACGTCTTCTAGACGGTCATACTGCACGAACCCATAGCCATGGTACATGCTGAGGGCTGGAAGAGGTAACAGCAGGGCAAGACCGGTTACAACGACGGGACAGCACTAACCCGCGCCCCGGCCATCACCTCATCCCAACCAGCCGAGCCACCACACGGGCTCCACCCAGCACCAACCACGCAGGCGTCCCGGGAAAAGTCACATCCACCGGGATCAGGATGCAGAGCTCGGAGACGCTGAAATGCATTTGGCAGATCAGCCTCCTTCTGACAAGGCGTGACCAAAGCACAGCCCACAGAGTGACCCGCGTTGGATTAAGAGACTACGAGGTCACTTCAGAGAGTATTGCAACACTGCGCTGCAGCCCCCAAAGCTAAAGCACAGCTGATAGAGATGCACATTACGCTTCAGCTGTACCGATGGAATTGCTTTCTTTAGAGGAAGTTACCACTAAAAGGTCACTTTTTAGGATCAACATCAGTCACTCCTCCCATCATCATCAAACAGCATTTGACAAGCATGAAAGTTGTATTTCTTGCTGAATTCCCAGCCACAAAAAGGCATAAGATAATATACTAACCCCTGATTTTGCCATATTTTGAAAATATCTCTTCCATTTCTTCACGAGTCATGTGGTCTGTGGGCAAATTGCCGACAAAAAGTCTTCTCTCTAAATCCTGAGGATTGGTGCTGTTAGTGAAGTCGCTCTGTTTGATGCTATTGCTCTTGCGTCCTCGCGCCATTTTGCTTTCGTTCCAAATCCAACTCTTCGCAAAAGAGAAAAATGGCCATGCATATCATTTCAATCCATGACAACAAAATTAAACTGGAACAAGATTAAACTTAACAGCTTCGCAGACTAGAAGCCAACCAGGTCTGCTTGATGCAAACTTCACACACAGGGTACAGAGGTCTGGCAAAAACACACACCGCAGTGTTTGGGTTCAGCTTTTCGGTAACACTGAAAGGTAGGAAAGCTAATCGTTTGGCAGGTAAGTTTTAACAGTTTAGCTCCAGACTAAGATACAAATAAAACTTGTTTTCCACTAAAATGTCCTAACTTTAAGCTTTTTAATACGCCTATTGTTGTCATATCTATTTCTTCAACCCACTGGTGAGAAGTCTTTAAATTTATGCAATATTTTAACAAGCGGAAAGAAAACACTCATCACAACATTGCATAACGGGACCCAAAGATTTCAGCACAGGCTCTGGATGAGGCATCAGGAAGTTCTGCTTAAGAGCTCTTCAGTTACCACACTCAGATCTCCTCATTAAATGTGAAACCCAAGCTTTCCAATAGCAGAAAGCACCATTTCCCACCCATATCCCCACTAAGCAGCATATCCTCGTCCCCATCAAGGTGTTGTATCCCACAGAAGACGGGTCCACAGCTGGGAGTTTAACCACCTCCAGGTAAGCGCTGCACCCTACCTCATCTCCCCCAGTGCAGCAGCAGTAACCTCTGTTAACCCACCGTATCGCAGACAGAAATGGAGCAGTCACTGTGCAAACTCACCCAAACAATCACAGAAAAAAAAAGAAAGAAAAAGCAAACAATCAAAAAAAACCCCCAGATCAACATAGCAAACTTTACCAAGCTAACAAAAATTTAAAAACCCAAACAAACAAACCCAAGAAAAACAAACAAACCAACCCCACCCAGGATTCGTAATGGTTGGTTTAAAAAGTCACCACTGCACAAAGCTTAAGAAAAAAAGAAAAAGTAATTTAAAAACACTGACACCTCCAAGATGAGCTTCAAAACTTGAAAACTATTTAATTCCTAAACATTCACCTGCAGGAATGCAGGATGGGATTATCTGTTTATAACATTTAATACCAGGCAGGAAACCTGGAAAAAGCAAGCTGAGGAAACTGAATACATCAACAGAAGCTTCTACCATAAATCACGAGATGCCAACAACCACCACGCTCCCCAAGAGTAACCTATATTCCTTACAATGTAAAAGTAGTCTCTAAATCAACAAGCCAAATGTGCAAATATATAAAAGTTTTATATAAAATACTTTTGCAGCACTTAACTGGCATGAATAATACAGCTACTCCAAACCCGAGATGTAAAATCTGTTTTGTTTAACATCAATCAACTTTACGTTTGTATAATTTTTCTCCTTTTAGCAGGGACAAGAGGAAGAGAACACCTCCCAGTCTAACTAACTTTTTAAAATTAACTGACCTGCCAGAACAGAGAGAAGGAGAAAAAAAAAACAACCCAGCACCTAAATTGAAATCAAACAGAAAGAAGTCATTTCTTCTACCACATTCGCCACAATCTTCCTAGACACTTGTACACACACAGTTTTACCTTCCCCATGAGAAGCACCAAACCTCATCCCACCTTCCTGCAGGGAAGAACCAGATTTCTCTTCCATTGTACTGCTGCAACTTAAGTTCTCATCAGCTGAGGGTAAAGAAGTTTCCAACATGCTCCCCAGATGGCCAAGTGGCTATAAAACACAGAAGATCCATCTAACTCAAGTTCCCCTGCGGAGCAGGGCCGGAGGTCAGAAGCCCCTGCGAGCAGCACGATCTGCGGGCGGCCGTGGAATGCCCTGCGCACGTGGCAGGCAGGGATCAACAGGACCCGTAACCGCTGCGGGTGGCACAGCTCAGTTTGACTGCAGAGGAGCAGCAAGAAACCCCCTTTTCTTTTCCTTAAGGGTGGGGATAGAAGAGGGTGGCTGGGGATGAGGGTGCAGAGGCTTTCCATGTGAAGAAAAACAGAGAGCTATTTTTCCCACTTGCAGGTCACTTTCAAAGCGAAGCAATAAATCCCAAACACTCAGTTGGGTTGAATTACTAGAAAATTTAATATTAGAGTGTTTACTGCCTCTCAGCATTTTCCACTTGGTAAGTTACATAGTTAAGGGCCGTTTAGTAATCATAAGAGCAAAATTAATGAGTCCCAGCTCTTGGCATGCTACACCAGGTGAACGGCTAATTTCCACATTAAATCCTTTTCTAATCTGGAGAGCACAAGTAACACACCAGGGCAGCTTAAAGGTGTCCATTCCCCACACAGAAACCGACTGCCAGGCCAGGCAGGTTCCTACAAGAGGACAGCCCATGTCAGCTCATAGGCCAGTAAATCCTCTCCAAGTCAACTAAAGCCACGCTTCCCTAAAAACATCTTATCGTCAAAACCAATAAATAATAGCGCTACAGCTTCAGAAAGCCAGGCACAGGTGAAGTGGAATAGGGACACTAACGTGACAAGTGAGATGCGACACAAAAATCGGCAAGAAGTTCCCGG